CCTGCCCACCGCCCGCCGCAGGGCTGTGTGTGTAAGGGGGCTGGGCACGCGCGTCCCGCCAACAGCAGCAGCTCGAACCGCCTGCCAGGCCGGGCTCCCGGACACTCCCTCCCGCCTCTCTCCTCCCACTCCCTCCTTCCCTCCACAGTCCTCCAGCTCCGGATCCACAGACGGTATCAGGACCCGCGTAAGTGTGGGCCCTGCACGGGAGGGGATGGCGGCCCCTCTCCCCCGGGGCCCCCTGGAGTGCAGCTGTGGGGTTTCCCGGCTGGTTCCAGAGGCCCAGTCCCTCTGCCCTGGAGACGCGGAGACCCATCCTCTCGGAGGTCCCAGGAGTACAGGTCCCCTGCACCCCACCCCTCGGAGCTCCTTGGTGTCCCCACTTCCAGAGAAATGCGTGCACCCAGAAGAGAACGCCCCAGGCTCCACCTTTGGTGCACACACACGAGTCTCAGGACGTGGCTTTCGGCTTCTCTCTCTCCTCAAGGCCAGGAGTACTGGCCCCACCCCTGTTCCAGCAAACCCCCAGATCCTTGATCCTCAGCCACCGCACCCCTTGGGGACCGAGGCCGGGATTCCTGCCTTTCTGGAGCGTGGAAAAGTCTGGCTTTCGAGCACTCTTGCCCATAAAGCCACAAGTGGGGGCTCCCAGCTCCCACCACTTGGGTTTCACTCCCTGGTCCTGCTGCCCCACATGGGGGCGGGATGGGGGTGGGGGTGACCGAGGCCTCCGGGCCCCTCCTTCCCACACAGCCTCTTCCTCCCGGCCCGGCTGGCTTCCTGAAGGCCTCGCGGGGCCCTTCACCACCTCTCCAGTCTCCGACCCAGATCCGTGGATCTCAGCCTCCGGCCCGGCTCTGGCCCCCATCCCAGCCTCGCCCTGCGGCCCCGCCTCCTTCCTCTCCAGTCCTGGGGTCCTGCGCCCCGAGCCCCGACGCTGCCCTTGGAGGCCCCTGAAGAATGTGAGTTTGCACCAGAGGGAGGGGAAGCCCCCCCGGCAGTCAGGCCTTGGTCCTCTGTCCCGCTGGCCTCTGGCCCACGCTGGTGGTGCCCAGCTGACCCCCTACTTCGCGTGGGACTGGGAAGGGAAGGAGGAACAGGACTGCGGCAATGACATCACACCTGCTTTTCCAGGCGACCCCCAAGACCTCCCAGCGCTGGAGGGAGGCCGAGCCCCAGGGGAGCCTGACCTACCACCAGTACCTGCCCCCAGAGCCCAGACAAGGGTCCAGGGCAGACTCCCAGGCCCCAGGGCCGGCCGGGGTGGCCCCGGGGCCGCTTCCGTGGGCAGAGACAAGCGCACAGCAGCCACCTGCTAGGTACGGCCCCCATTTCTGTCCTCCTCCTTCACACCCAGAGTCCAAGGTCAGGGGCGGGGGCCCATAGACCCCACCTCCCCCAGGACGCCGGAGTTCAGCCCCCAGCCCCTCTCCCTGCAGTTCCACGCAGCCCCCCTCAGCCCGAGCTGAGCCCCCCCCTTTCCCACGCCCAGGAACCGGCCTCCTGGGTGGGTCCTCGGAGACCCCGATGCTGGGCCCGGTCCCCCGTCTTCACGCGGAGAATGCTTGAAGGGTCTGTGCGCCCTCTAACCCGTTTCCCCGCTGCCCGGCCATCGCAGGATGAAGGCCACCTCTCTCCCCGCCGGCTTCCCCGGGGTCTCCAGCCCCGCGCCGCCTCCGCACAAGTTGGAGCTTCAGACTCTTAAACTGGAGGAGCTGACGGTGAGTGCGGGGCGACTTCCCGGGGGACCTCTCCCTCCCTGGGGGGACCAGGAGGCTGACCCTGCGGCTTCTGCCCATCAGACCCGGGAGCGGGAGTGTGTGTGTGTGTGTGAGATCCAGGAGCGGGTGTGTGTGTATGTGTGTGTGTGATCCAGGAGCGGGGGTGTGTGTGTGTATGTGTGTGTGATCCAGGAGCGGGGGTGTGTGTGTGTATGTGTGTGTGATCCAGGAGCGGGGGTGTGTGTGTGTATGTGTGTGTGATCCAGGAGCGGGGGTGTGTGTGTGTATGTGTGTGTGATCCAGGAGCGGGGGTGTGTGTGTGTATGTGTGTGTGATCCAGGAGCGGGGGTGTGTGTGTGTATGTGTGTGTGATCCAGGAGCGGGGGTGTGTGTGTGTATGTGTGTGTGATCCAGGAGCGGGGGTGTGTGTGTGTATGTGTGTGTGATCCAGGAGCGGGGGTGTGTGTGTGTATGTGTGTGTGATCCAGGAGCGGGGGTGTGTGTGTGTATGTGTGTGTGATCCAGGAGCGGGGGTGTGTGTGTGTATGTGTGTGTGATCCAGGAGCGGGGGTGTGTGTGTGTATGTGTGTGTGATCCAGGAGCGGGGGTGTGTGTGTGTATGTGTGTGTGATCCAGGAGCGGGGGTGTGTGTGTGTATGTGTGTGTGATCCAGGAGCGGGGGTGTGTGTGTGTATGTGTGTGTGATCCAGGAGCGGGGGTGTGTGTGTGTATGTGTGTGTGATCCAGGAGCGGGGGTGTGTGTGTGTATGTGTGTGTGATCCAGGAGCGGGGGTGTGTGTGTGTATGTGTGTGTGATCCAGGAGCGGGGGTGTGTGTGTGTATGTGTGTGTGATCCAGGAGCGGGGGTGTGTGTGTGTATGTGTGTGTGATCCAGGAGCGGGGGTGTGTGTGTGTATGTGTGTGTGATCCAGGAGCGGGGGTGTGTGTGTGTATGTGTGTGTGATCCAGGAGCGGGGGTGTGTGTGTGTATGTGTGTGTGATCCAGGAGCGGGGGTGTGTGTGTGTATGTGTGTGTGATCCAGGAGCGGGGGTGTGTGTGTGTATGTGTGTGTGATCCAGGAGCGGGGGTGTGTGTGTGTATGTGTGTGTGATCCAGGAGCGGGGGTGTGTGTGTGTATGTGTGTGTGATCCAGGAGCGGGTGTGTGGGTGTGTGTATGTGTGTGTGTGCGCCAGGAGCGGGTGTGTGTGTGTGTGTGTGTGAGATCCAGGAGCGGGTGTGTGTGTGTGTGTATGTGTGTGCGATCCAGGAGCTCTGTGTGCACGTGTGTATATGTGTTTGTGTGTATGCACATATACATGTGTGTATACGTGT